AACAAGAACTAGCAATAAAATTGTGTTGACAGTCTGCAAATAAAATAATAAAGGCTAAAAACTCACCCATGTTAAAGTTATCAAAAAAAACTTCGAAAGTGTAGCCATCATTGTTGCTGGTTGTTGCCAAGAGTTATCCCTGTGTAGTCTTGGTTAACAGGCTGTAACTAATTCATTCACGACTGGCACTACCGGGCGAAAAGGCCACAGAGTAGAGCCGTAGTTTCTAGAACTGCCGTTGTTATTACATATCAATTCTATAGAATTCAGATTTTGTTGCATTTGGCCGACATGATATCTTGCAGAACTCAGTTAGACCACCCAATTTTCTTACCCGGAAATGCACTTTTTCTTGCACTTTTTTCGGCTGGCAGACCCAACCCACCCCCCAGTTGCTGTTTGCATTTTTTTTTTACAGTTGCCCCCTGCCATAATGTATCTTTAATTAATAAATAATTATCATAAGCCTTACTAATATTTCGTGTTAATGTCCAATATATATTTTTTTGTGTACCCCATGCTGACGAAGTGAATTCACAATACCCTACCATGAATATAAAACATGAATTTACTTTGAAAAGTTTTCTCGGGTTATCAAAAATGACCGGCAGTGAAAATTTTGAAGTGGAAGCCCTGGTCAGAACATTGTTTTTTAAACGTCCACATTTTCATGTGGACGTATTATGCCGTCGACCCCTGTCCGTCCGGACGTCCTTCCGTCCACAATTGTTTGTGGACTCTCTACAGGTCACAATTCTTATCCAATTTTGACGAAGCTTGAAATATAGGTTTATCCCCAAAAGATCTCGGCTGCTTTCGATACTGGCATGTATCGGATCGAAACTTCATGGATTATGGCCCCTGATTGTTGTGATATAACCACATATTCATGAATCACGGCCTCACAGGACCCCTCTGCCCGGTGTCGAGGGCAGACCCTCTCCCGAGGTCCGGGAGACCTCTCCGCCTCTACGGGTCTCTCTTGTCCCTCCTTTGTATTTTTCCCTGCCTGCTTGTAAACTAGGCTTTTTATATCGGTTAAGGCACGCCATAGTTAATACCATTAGTAATCAGGACAATGAAAAGTAATTATTAAGATTCACACATCTTACCTCAAGACAAAAGGTGTCAATACGTGTTAAGCCTGAATCTTATATCATATAGACACTCCGAGTATACATGTTTGTACAATCCATTAAATCTTACATAATACTATTTCAACAACCTACACCTGATATATAGATTAAATCTTACAATTAATCTGTCACTTAATATATGTCTAAAATTGAGTTACAAATAAAATATGAATTAAGAATACAATATTGAAATTTAGATCCCAAATGATACTGTATTACATTGTACGAAAAATCACGTTTTTAGCTTGTGGACCCTATAGAGGTCATAATTTTTATCCGATTTTTTTGAAACTTGAAATGTAAGTTTATAACCCAAAGATCTCGGTTCCTTTCGATCTTCGCGCATATCCGACCGTAACTTCCTGAATTATGGACCCTGATTGTACGAAAAATCGCGTTTTTAGCTTGTGGACCCTATAGAGGTCATAATTTTTATCCGATTTAAAAAAACGTATTATTTTATCACCGTTACTCCCTAAGGAAGGCTGAGTTCGAATTTCGTGTAAATCGGCCCAAAATTGACAGACAAAATGGCCGCCGTTCGTTCTCAAATAGCGTAAAAATATGGTATATCAAGGTTGTGGACCCTATAGAGGTCACAATTTTTATCCGATTTCTTTGAAACTTGAAATGTAAGTTTATAACCCAAAGATCTCGGTTCCTTTCGATTTTCGCACATATCGGACCGTAACTTCCTGAATTATGGCCCCTGATTGTACAAAAAATCGCGTTTTTAGCTTGTGGACCCTATAGAGGTCATAATTTTTATCCGATTTAAAAAAACGTATTATTATATCACTGTTACACCCTAAGGAAGGTTGAGTTCGAATTTCGTGAAAATCGGCCCAAAATTGACAGACAAAATGGCCGCCGTTCGTTCTCAAATAGCGTAAAAATATGGTATATCAAGGTTGTGGACCCTATAGAGGTCACAATTTTTATCCGATTTTGTTGAAACTTGAAATGTAAGTTTATAACACAAAGATCTCAGTTCCTTTCGATATTCGCGCATATTGAATTGTAATTTCCTGAATTATGGCCCTTGATAGTAGGAAAAATCACTTTCTTGTTAGCTTGTTCTCTATCCATCTCTCGAAAATGTGGGCGTATCCTGCCTGGCAGCCGCTGGTTTCTTTATAAAATGTCAACAAAATATTCAAATCCGTGCGTAATAGAAATAGGAACACCTCACTATTTTTCATATTTAATTCAGTATGGTTATGGTATTCAAATGTATGTCAGAAATATTCCTACAAAATTACGTGTTTTCATAATACGATAGAATGAAAGTTTGCCGATCCGTACCTGCTAGCCAGTAATATTCCTCCAAAATCACATGTCTTGGTTTATACGGCAGCAAATGAAAGAACGGCGTTCCAAATAATAATACTTGTGGTGATGTCAAAACTCCATTCCCTTCTTCATCAGTCAGTATTTTAAAATTACATTGATAGTTAAATCACATAGCTAATTTCAGCTTCATAGTAAGCACTGCTTGAGATTACTGGAAAGTGCCACTGTGGATGAGAATTTATATATGGAGTCTTAAAAGACGTAAAAGATATTGCAGACAAAATGACTGTCCATTGATTTACGGTGTTATATACATGTACTCTTACGATATGTGACATCTATGACTAGTTTATAGATGCTGTCCGCTCACATCTTAATGTGATTAATGTGTCCGACAATGGAGAAACCACAAGGTAAACACGTGGATTAAAATTATAATCACTTTTATTGGATTAATGAATAGTCCGACAAAGGGGAAGCAATGACTTCTGTTTAAGATTATATTGATGAATTGTCTGACAAAGGATTAAGTCAGTCAATCATGGCAGATTAAGTAGTTGATCAAGGTAGGTGTATACAGGATATAACACAATATATACGTTGATCACTTAATTACCTAATCAATCCAGGCTATTATCAACGATAATCGGGTTGAGTGGTAGTTATACACTCAGTACACTATATTAATTTTGGAATTTTGAATATTATTCACCATGTCTTGATATCCGATTGGGCATATTCCGGTCAGACAGTTTTGGGCGTTTGGAAAATAGTGTCGGACAAGTCCGGAATATACAGGCGAAATCCCATCCCTGATCAGGGGCCATAATCCATAAAGTTACAATCCGATAACATGCCAATATTGAAAGGAACTGAGATCTTTGGTGATAAACCTATATTTCAAGTTTTTGTCAAAATCAGATAAAAATTGTGACCTGTAAGTGTTTACAAACAAATTGTGGACGGACAGGGGCGACAACAAAAGACATCCACATGAAAATGTGGGCGTATAAAATGTGGGCTGCGGAGTTTAAGCATGGCAGAGAGAGAGAGCCTTGATGATGACCGACCTCCTGGAAGGCCATTAATAGCAACCATTCAAGAAAACATTACCCGGGTACATGACATTGTGAAGGCTGATCGACAAGTGTTGTGGGTACCTTTTGAAAGGGTTGAGCACATAATCGCCAACAAGTTAGGGATGACAAAAGTTTCTGCAAGATGAGTACCAAAGCTCTTGACTGCGGATCAGAAACGTGTCAGATTCCTGACGCCCCGTTACAATTGGTGCCGTTTTGATCAGTTTTTGGCCAGATTTGTAACCATGGATGAGAATTGGATCCAGAGTCGTCAGCCACCAAAAAAGCCAAGTCAAGTCGGTTCCTTCTTCTGGAAAGGTGATGGCTTCAGTCTTTTATGATTCCAAGAGTATTCTGCCGATTGACTATCTTCGAAAAGGACAGACTATCAATGGAGGATATGCTGACCTATTGAGACATTTGCGTGAAGCTATCAAAGGTGAGCGATGGGGAATGCTCACTATTGGATAGTGAGCAAAGTGGATCTGGGGTAGCAATATGCCACAGAAACACCATTGCTTGTTTTGGAATGGTAACTGGTGTGTGCCCATAGCCTTGCTCTCCTAACTGCAATTCTGGTAAGCCATAGAGCTCGTTAAGAAAGTTATCAAAAATGTTACTTTGGTTAAACAAAAGTGTGATTTAAAGTCTTCTAAGGATTGTACTACATAATTATGTTCTGCATAATATTCTATCCTTGGAGCTTCATTACGCTACTCCAGAATTAATAGTTCCAATAAGATGCCAATGATTAAGTCAGTTTCAATTTAAGTTTTTTGGTAGATTAATGTCTGCTCATTGTTATTTATCAGAACACTGAGCATGATTGTTTAGCAGTGTTTATCTTCCATTTTGATAGTGGTGGACACATTAGCCAAATCGTTCCCCGCCGAATGGGTGGATTGCATCACCTTTCATGTCACATGATTAAACATGGTGGCTACCATGTCTTCAAAAAGTCACGTAACTTCTCGATATGAGTGGATGATGAGTGTTGATTAACTAATGATTTCTACATTCGGGCAAATGCTTCAGTGAGCAGACACAAGGCAAATATATCGAATATGTTTAATTCAAACAATTTAGTTTCTGTGGGCGTATGTTTTGTTGCCTGGCTGCCTACCTTTTTTTCTATAACACTAATAAATTTTACTTTTAATTACCTTTATTGTCACTGAAAATTTATGATATCTTGAAAGCCCCAACTCATTCCAAATCTCCTCCATTCTGACAATAAGTAAAATATGAAAGAAGCCATTGCATGTAATTAATTTTCAACTTCCAAAATGAGACTTGACACAAAGCACATATTTTCGTCGTACTGTCTTACCCGTACTTTGCAAGTCACAGGTCGAAGACCAGCTGATTGTCACAGGTTTTTCTTGTTGTGCTGGGTTGCTGGCAACTTTCAGCTACCAAAATGTTGTATGGTCACACCACTTATTCAGGTCTTTCTAACCTATATATTTACAATATGCTATGCTATTTTTAGTTCAGATGACATGATTAATATGCAGGTGTCAGATAAAGATATAGCAGTTTTTCCAGAAATCTGCAGTGGTCCCTGTTCACAATCATGTTTTCAAATAGTAAGTTTTCATCATTATTTCCACCACACAAGCAATTGCCATGTTTATAAATGTAGAGGTCACTATACCATGTGAAATGGAAATAAGAATCACATATTTTTTTTAAAAAGATAAACAAAACATCATTACCCTATGTACAATAAATGGGTTTTTTTATATATAGGAATGTAAAGTTTGTCACAAGTGTCTTACAGTTGATTTAAAACAAAGTTTAAAAACAGCATATGTTGAGCATGTGAATAGAGGTAGCTGTAGAAGAGTTTTCCCGCCACCAATAATGGTATATATGAATTTAATATTTGATATCTTTATGCAAATTCTGTGGCCACCATTTTCAATAATTAGTATTCTATTTTGTAATGCGGTACTAAACCTTGTAACATGATTTATGGACACAAAGACAAAATAAACATTTTCAGTCTTATGGAAGCAGAATGTTGGTAAATACTTCTCAAAATTCTCAAAGTATACTTTCTGTTTTCAACGACAGGTCCCAGTGTATGTGTGCAATAAAGATTTTTACTAATATTACTGACAATAAATTAAGCTCTTAATTCAAAAATGATTTATCAGATTTTCTGTTTCAGAATCAACACCAAGCACTTAAGTGGACAATAGAAAAAGCAGATCAAACATTCCAGAATATACGACAAAAAAATCAAATAATGCAAATCTGGTTCATTGGCAAATGTCGTCTAGATGCCTCATTTTGTATTTGAATATTGGTTTTAATATGTGTAATTGTCCCCCGTCTTTCGTCCGTCTGTCTGTCCGACACAATAACTCTCTTTCTAATTGAGCTAAAATGTTCAAACTTGGTGTAGGTATTTATTATCGGTCAATGCCTTGATGGAGTTCAAAGATGAGCATTTGCTGCTTAGGGTAAGCAGAGATAAGCAATTTGATTGGTTGATGCTTTGGGACATGATAACTTTAGTTCTAATTAAGTGAGAGTGATGAAACTTGCTGTATAGTTTCATTACATCAATACCTTGACTAAGTTCGATAATGAGTATTTTCTGCTCAGGATAAGCAGAGCTATAAGCAATTTGATTGGTCGTGACTTTAGAACACATTAACTCTCATTCTAATTGAGTTAGAATGTTCACACTTGGTGTAGGTGTCTTGATGGAGTTCAAAGATGAGAATTTTCTGCTAAGGATAAGCAATTTGATTGGTTGATTCTTTGTATCATGATAACTTTAGTTCTAATTAAGTGAGAGAGAGGACACTTGGTGTATAGCTTTTTTTACATCAATACCTTGACTAAGTTCGATAATGAATATTTACTGCTAAGGGTAAGCAGAGCGATAAGCAATTTGATCAAGACTCACAATAAGTCTCCTTCTAATTGAGGTAGAATGTTCAAACTTGGTGTAGGTGTTCATTAGGTGAATGTCTTGATGGAGTTCGATGATGAACATTGTCTGCTTACGGTAAGCAGAGATAAGCAATCTGATTGGTTGATGTTTTGGTTCACGATAACTTTGGTTATAATGAAGTGAGAGCGATAAAACTCCGAATAAAGATTCATTATATCATTACCTTGACTAAATTGTTTCAATGGCATTTTGTAATTGAACTGGAGTATACAGGTCACAATTCTGTGGAATACAATTACTGCTTATTACTGAGCGACGTTTCGACTGGGCTTCTCTAGTCATTATCAAGCAATGATAAAATATGACAAGACAATATATACCATGTAGACAACAATACTTAGTTAATTCTGACCAACCAGAGATACCCCTTAATTACGTGTACCTAAAGGGAGTCTAATTTAATTAAGGATTATAACGTTTAATGCTAATAACAACATTCAATATGACCAATTTACCTGAAAATTAACACAAATTGATTAATCGATTAATGGAGTATATTCAATGATTTATTAGGTTTTAATAATGACAAACGATCAAAGAAGATGAAATTTGATAAAATGTATTCCGCGACCACTTTATCTGAAATAAACACAAATAATTAATGAATAGCTTGTTGTGGAGTATTTACAATGATTTGAGTAGGTTTTAATAATGACAACACCCTTAAAAGATGTGATTTGATTGGTATTATGACAAAAAATGTTGATATATTATGCATGTAGATGTAAGTGATTCTACTAATATACGAAAAACCCTTAGAACAATCACTACACAAATGATCAATGGTCCTCAGAAGGCCGACTATTTTACTTATAGTGAGTAATATTTTCACTGTATACTATAGTGAATTAGAAAGGCAGGATTTGAACTATTAAGTGCATTGAATTTTGAAAACAGCAGCCCTGAAAAGCAAAAATAGTAGCCAATTATTAATTATCATTTTTTTTTAAAATTATAGTAATTATTACAAACTTAGATTATTACTAGAATATTGTTGAGTATTAAATGTGATTAAATAAAAATTATTATGCTTAGTCTATGATTATGTAATAAGAGTATCATACGCCCTGAGGAGGAACAATCCTTGATCTCTGTTTATTGTTGGCTTGTGTCTTCGTATTTGAATGGCTTCATGCAATCGGCGCGCCCTCTTGTTGCTTATATTCTTGCATAGTGGTTTAACATTTAGTAGAGTCAAAATACCGAATAACCCCCCAAAATTTGCAAGAAAACATTTTATTGCATTTTCCTATAGTATTTGGTCCAGAGAACAATATATATCAAAAGTTGTCCGAAATTGAGCCACCACAAGGGGTCAAATTATGACGTAAAACAAAATGGCTGCCATTTGACCAAAATCACCAATCTTTACACATATAATTTGAAATAAGCTGTATTAAACCAGTTTTAAAAATATAGACCATCTTAAAACATTATTGTCTTGCTGTTGAAAAGAGTGTCGCGACGTATGGGATATTGCATGACGTCATCAATGACAGAAAATGAGTACCTATTAATGGAGAATTCATATTTACGAAACAGCGGGCGGTGCACATGAAATAGTTTTTGACCTGAAAAATACACGTGTTAGCAAGTAGCTACTGGTTAAAGGCAGTGAAGTCATGATGCTGATAGCAAAACCATTATTATATTCAGAATATGCAAAAACAACATCAAATTTGACAAACTATTTTTCAAAATTGGCATTATTCATATTTTCACAATTCCCAGCGTGTCCGCGAGAGCACCATGCAGGGGGTGATAACCCTTGGGTCAGGGATTTGAACCAAATTTTTTCTGTGACATGGGTTAGTACCCAGATACATCCCCACAAAATATTAGATTGATTCAGTTGATACCGACCTGGAAAATTGGAAAAGTATTTTTTAATCGAAAAATAAGCCAAAAATAGGCAATTTTGGATCCAAATTTGAATGACCTGCTATTCGGACAATAATTGATTTGGATAGACAAAACTTTGGGTATTAGTAGGACCATTCAGGTTTCTCCTTCACACTGAGTTTGAAGTTTCTACTGCTAATGATACCTTGGTACTGGCCGGATACCCAACTCTCTCTGAAAATTGAATTTAATGAAAACCAATGTTTAAGAGGCTATAGCTCGTTCTTTGCAGGGACTAGGACCAAAGTTGAATGTTACCCACAACTAGCAACCTTCCTACTAACAAAATAAAAAATAAAAATGACCGGAACAGTCATAATAAAAACAGGAGAAATATATTAAAAACACCAAAAATTAGGATAAAATATCCCGTCTATCAATACCCCAGATGAAGTATATGTATGGACATCTTTACAAATTTAATATATTCCATTTAGTCGTTAGCAAGGATGATTTAGACATGAGAGGAACAAAGTAAAATGAGATTTAAAGTCCACTGGACACAAACTAGGTCATTTTGGGACTAGCATAATATGGTGATGCATACTGTATCTATGGACATCATCACAAAGTTAATATATTCGTTAGCAAGGGTGATTTTGACTTAAGAGAGAGAAATGGGGTTTAAGGTCCACCCAACACAAACTAGGTCATTTTGGGACTAACATATGGTACAATTTTACTTCAATAATACACTTGTGGGAAAAGAGAATATCCCTGAGGTTGGACAAACAACACCACACCATGTCACCGGCATGCTGTCACACCACCACTTAACTCAATGACAGACCTTAGGATCTAAAGTCTATGTGTTAGACCAGGGACAAGTTTCATGAATGTCCAATGCAATTTAAACAGAACAAATCGTCTTCTATAAATATGATATAATGAAAGGTGAAATATGATACACGATTCAGTGTAAGCATATTTTAGCTCTTGGGTAAAAGAAGTGTTTCTGAGGGATGTACATGTTCGCTCTTGTAACAGGTTTTAAGGACGAGGGGATTGTAGATGATCCAGTGACAGTAAGTCATAGTCACACAATCAGCAAGACGACTATACAACACCTTTTCTACCAAAGTTCCTTGTGCCAAATAGGTTATTTTGGTCAAACATATTTTAGGAATCAGACCAGCTTATTCCCATCTGTATTTAGGAGCCGATCATTGTATAGAAACATTTGGACGTTTTCATGGAGAGGCATTACAGATCGGGAGGCTATGATAATTCCATATTGAAATCCCTGAAGGAGAAGAGGTCAAAAACAGTACTACAAAATAAAACAGTACTCTGTGGTCCAAAAACCTTGAAGGTAGGTCAGAGAGCATTTACACTGGAACGTAGGAATCTAAGTAAGTGAGCACTTCTGCTCGAACGTAGGTATATGTAGGAGTTTGGCACATGCGGTCAACATTATCCTGGAGTGCCATAAATCCTGTTGTGATCTATCTTTCCCTTCAGAGATTTCAATACCAGACATTAAATGTCCCTACATGAACACTTCTGAATGTTTCTTCTTATGGTTCTCCTTTACATGAGCAGGTGTACAAATTAATAGATATCAAGTTTATGATAGTCATGTTTATATGATGATCAGGGCTCGGTTCCTAGAAAATTCTTAAAGTAAGCACAATGTCATGCTTCACTTTTTCTTACGTAAGAAACTTATAAAAATACCGTCCCTAGAAAATTCTCAAGACCATTCTTACGTAAGCACAAGTCAAGTATAAGTCTAAGCACATTGTGACTGGTAAAGTTTACCATAAACTGAGACTACGATGCTCTTTAACGTCATAAAAACAACTTTGGTATGCAAAACGTCATAAATTTGTCGTCTGCTTCATTGACGTTATATATATATATGGTTGATTTAGATGCATTTGACATGTCCCCTATACACATATATAATGTGCCACAAGATAAAAAAAAACCGCAGACACATACAAACTAACTGAATAATTGTGAGAGTGCCTGATCTTAAAGTAGTCTGTGTGTTTGCAGCCTATTGTTTACTAATTGGCAAATAAATAAAATGGTTTCAGGGTAGGCCTAGAAGCAAAATTTTCTATAGCATTCTTAATTTGAAATTTCTTCTGGAGAAGGATTTTCTTTGTCTCTTTGGTATCATAAGGTGTTGGCAATGCCGTCGAATAACTCTACGGTCAGCCATCTTTTTGAAGCAGAAACAGACTTAAGGTTGGTAAGCAAGCCGTATACCTTGCTTGGGACTTGTGCTTAGATTGACTATGTTTAAGAACGAAGTTGTGCTTAAGTTTTTTCTTGGAACGCATATTAACGTTCTTGTGCTTACAATGAAGTCTACTTAAAATCTAAGCACAAGAACATTCTTAAGAATTTTCTGGGAACACAAAATAAGGTAAGTTTACTTAAATGCAAAGTCTACTTAAATCTAAGCACAAGAACGTGCTTAAGAATTTTCTAGGAATTGGGCCCTGCTCATGAATACAGATCTTAATAACAGTGGTCTGATCCCTGCAAAATTACGAAGAATTACAAGTAATGGTGATGATCAGTAGTCATTTGAAGATAATCGTTGGTCATTGCTGAAAAGGTGCTGCTTTGGTTAAATTGTGCTAATATAAAAGCTTGCTATGCCAGTCCTTACATTTATGCACTTCCGTGCTACTAACTACTGAATACAGATGAGAATAATCGTTGCCTGATCCTGCAAAATTATACACCAGTTAAGCCCCTTTCCTACGATGACCGTGAACGTCCGATTTTGTCACAAAAACTTCATGATTTTAACCAAGATAGTATATTTGGCACAAGGAACGTTCAAGTAACAAAAAATAGTACTTATGTTCATAATCAACGGTCATTTGAACTCTTGAAAATAGTAGTCGGTCATCAGTAAAAAAAAGAATTGTGGAAAATACCATTTTTACACATTTTCAGAATATTACAGCACTCTAGTGGGTTGCGTTCCGGTCAGTTTTTTTCTTTTGACATTTACTTTGAGAAATGCCCTTCACAACCACACCAAGCAATTCTATGTCAGACCTGCAAAGAAACAGCTACATGCGTTTTAGGATAGCATAGTTTTAAACATATGTAAAATGACCACTTTATGATCACTAACAGAAAATTCCACACGATTGATTCATTCCCAAACGACTGCAGGATTTTAAGACGACTACTAGGCCTATCATACCTGACCAATATCAAAAATTTAGAGACACAACATTTCGGGTTGGAGCGTTTTGAATTTAGGGTAACAAATTGGTCGAAATATGTCAATTTTTGCCCCAAAACAACAATTTCCAGTTATACCGGAAGTTGTCCATTCAAAATTTTTTTACTTCATCATGTGACTTCTGTCGCCTAGGGGTCCCCATAGACCAAGTATGGTTGAAATTTGCTGACCCCCCGGGTTATCGTTTTTTTCAATTTCTGCATGGTGCTCTCGTGGACACGCTCTTAACAAGATCCACAAGCCCCTGTGCACTCAAGTCCGTACTTCTTACAGCTACATCTTAGTGTATTACATTGAGCAGAACAGTTGCAGTGAATCATTTTTAATAGAATGTTAGGAGCTGGGTTATTGTCCATCATTACTGGTGTGAATTTGTCTCCTTGAACATTCCAGCCCCTATTTGCCGGGTCCATGTTGTCAATATTGCCAATCCATTGCATGACTTGAAGGTAGCTTTGTTGTGCATGATACTTTGTAGCTGAGGTTGTGGGGGGCAGTCGTTCAGGTGTTACAAATGTCTTTGCAGTTGCCACTTTTTTGCAGAGGTAACTGTATCGAAATGATGACAGGGATTCAGAATTTGTCCCGTTCAACAAATCCACCACTGCCTTACACCCAGCACTTTCAACAGCTTCTTGACCCGAATCCTGAGCACAGAAAATCCTTGAACAGGTACGTATGACAGAATCGCCTTTGATAAACTTTTGAAACACTGATTTTTTTTCCCAACAGCAAAGATTCTTGAGGTAGTATCACAACCAGTAAATGCATGGGCAAACAACAGATCGGTACAAACATTATCCCCGGGAAGATTCTTTAAAACTTTGATGCTATACACATTTGGCTTCCCTTTGTCTGATCGAAAGTAGAGTTCCTTACTGTCAACTCTCTCATGATACAGGAGTAATATCAGAAGATCTGTATCCGCTCCGATTAGGGTGGTTGATTTTGTGGTGGACATAGTGACATCTGCTTTCACTATGTTCAAATCTGCATCTCCCTTTGCCTGCACCACATGACAGTTGCTTTGCCTCAAGTGCACGGTAATCATGTCAATGAGGGACTTCTTATTGTTTTCATTAGAAAGCAAGTCCGCTTTCTTACCAACAAATTTAGTTGTATCTGTTATGTTGACAGTGTTTTTTACAGATGTTGTTTTTCTTCGCTGGGGTGTGGTGTCCTTGGTACTACTTGGTCCACCATATCCGTCGAAAACTATGGTTGGTTTGCCATACAGGTCAGTTGTAAAAGAGGCTTAAGCGTCTGCAATTGAACTGTAGGTGCTTCTTTCAGTCCATTTCAGGCGATGTAGGATTGAACCTCCGTCCAAGACGTAGTGCTCGGTATTGGGAATAGATTGAATGACAACATCATCAACAGAAGAAGCATAGTTCTGTATGGCTTCAAGAAATGCAGGTTTGTCTGGCTTTGGTAGTGGATGTTTGCATTCAAACAAGGAGGGTGGATATGTAGAGAGTTCGTGTTTCACCCCCTCATCTAAGTTTAGCTCTCCAGGAACCTCTGAAATAACAAAGCTGGGTCAATTGTTCTGTCTTCAGCAACCTTGCATGAGAGCCCTTGATGAAGCCATGGTCTTCACTTTAGTGTTTCGTTTCTGTGTGGGGATCACGGTGGCTAAGTGGGTAAGGCGCTTGCTCGCTAGTCTGGAGGTCGGGTGTTCGATCACTGCATTGGCCGAGAAAGTTCATCCAGATTTTCCGCCGTGGTTCTCCCTTGTCAGTGATGCAGGACGGAGGGGCTGACAAGGACAGCTGTCTAGTCGTTCGGATGGGACGAAAAACCGAGGTCCCGTGTACACATTGGCGTGCACGTTAAAGATCCCTTGACAGTTGGAATTCGATATAAGAGTAGGCCGTAGTACCGCTGTCTGGGCAAAATTTCCCTCTTAGCACACTGTATGGTGTATGCCCGTCTTCATTAGCCCAGTTCGGAGCAAAACAGTAGGACGTAAAACCCCATTTCATTTCGTTTCTGTGAATAAGAAAATATCAGTTGACTTTCCATTTTTGTTACTGTATCCCTGCCAACAGTAAAAAGGTTATGCACATTCACGTCATCATCAG